GATGGCCACATTTGACCGTGTCGTAATGGATTAGGACTGCAAGAGCATGTCCATGTGTCGTAAGGAATGCTTCCGGAAATCCCAAGGAAAGAAAGGGCATCAGAACTCCAGTGAGGATGTTTACACCGCCGTGATGGCACTGTGGGAATTTCTAGTCATATGAGCAACATGGTCCTGTGAAGATCGAGTACGTAAGTGAAAGTGGTAGCTCAATGAACCCAACGACAGATGTATTGAAAATTATGTAGCCTTACGATAAACTGTTCCTCTGATAATTATTTGAATACAATTTAATATCTATATCACTCAAATATATGCACAATTCTGAAACGATTCCGCAGATCACAGAGTCAAAAACAAGATATCAACATAACAGAGAGTGTCATTATGTTCCCTAAATTTGACTGATTAATGTTCTATTTGTTGGTTTGTTGCACCTCCCTCTTACATGTCGCTACAGGAATATTGTAAACTGTCGAAGATGAATGAGCGCTAAACTGAAGCTATGGAATTGACAGCCACAAAATCAGATTGATGATTTTTTTGCGACTACCGAGGTTTTATTCGATCATGCTGATGTTTGGAGAAAGATCATGGAAACATGAAATTCACTGAAAATTTCTCAAATATCCTCGCAGTTCAATGCTCGAGGAAAAAATCATGAACGTTATAGATCGGTATAAAGTGCCTCATGTGAATGGCTGTAATGCCGAAAACACCATTACTTAAGTGTCATGCAGGGTTCACACATAACCTGATCACTTATCTGGACTTCCTTCTGTTTAGAAAACTATACTGTCATGGTGCGGTCAAAATATCCATTTCGCCTAGCACAGGACTTGCCGTTGACAGCCATGAAGAAGAGTTAAAAAGGAAGGAAATACTCTTCCCAACCAAAAATGAGTCGTCACTCACCTGTGTGATGGGCTGAGTTTTGGCACGACTGTCAAAACGTCGATGGAACCTCCGAGTGTCGACCGCACAGGGAGCAGAGTCGTCCTTTGAATCGAAGAATTTGGTCTTTTGAAGAACACTCATTTTGCTCTTTTCGTCTTCGAACACGCTTTCAGACGAGTCTGACTGGCTGGGATCGGTGCTGGTGGTGCTGATGGGGGCCGGAGAAGTCTTCGGGTAATTTGGACTAGACCCATAGCATAGCCTCGGCGATGTGAACGTGGAGAAGAGGGGCTTCATGGTGGTTGCCTCTAGTGATGGCGACACGGGCGAAATCGGTGACGTGGACGCTCTGCGAGTCATGCCATGACCTGTTTTCGTGAATGCGGTAACTGGCACCGTCGTCGGGCTGCCGGACATTTTCTCGAACAGGTCTTTAATGGCGGTGACCGTACGATTGCGGTGACCATCATCCATATCCTCCAGCGCCGTCCTCATATCTTCCTGAGATTCATGACGCTGCTGCGTGCCCGTCCTCCTGCCATCACCGCAGAATGTGACGTGCTTCAGCCTGGCGCCTGAGCACCAACTAAAACAACAAACCGATCAGACCATCTCGACCGACACACGCATTTACTTGAAATGTCTATTTATCGTCTGCAAAGTTTGTACACAGCCGTAGTCGACAACG